TGCAGAAAAGAGAGCTGCCTCAACGTTCAGGATCGGGGTGGTAGGTCAGAATAAAATAGTGGGTTCAACGGGAACTGTGAGCGCCATTATACATTTTTGTAGTTTAAACTATAAATTGCGCAAAATTATGTTTTTGTCGAAGTGACACACAACGCGAGTTATGCTCGATTTTTTGCCGATTTTTGACACACCACGCCAAAAAGGTTGCCCATCACTGTTCTAGGGGACAGTCTGTTCTATTACTTTATAGCTTTTGCAGTCAGGAAATTCTTCCTTATTTCAAATATGGATCTCGCTCTGCAAAGCATTCACCTACTGATTCTTGCCCTTCCCCAGGCTTTATGGACACTAAATCCACAATCTCTTCCCTGTAAGTTATCAGAAAACTGCTATCATGTCCCTCCTTAGTTTTCTCTACTTTAGGCATGAAGAACACAGTTCTTCATAGGATTTAGCCTCCAAACATCTTGCCATCTTTGTTGCTTTTCTTGCATTCTTTCCAGTTCCTCAGCAACTTTCTTGTACTATGATGACCACACCTGGACATTTTATATAAGAAGTATGTTTATTGTAGTATAAAATAACTCAGATGGTATCAATTATTTTAGAATGATATTTGTCTTTCTTTCAGTTGAGATGGAAGCCATTTGAGATCCCTACAATCTTTCAAAAAAAGCTGGACTTTGTAACTGTAAGTAACCATATAGAAGCATTAAAAGCATTGTTCACTTACTCTTTCTGATATGAGTAAGAATGGAGTTTTCAGCTTGAAGAGAAGGTACTTGATTTGCATGCATACACATTAATCTACATGTAGTCTTCATTTTATAACTGTTTTGTTTAGCGACCACTTGCTAATTACTGTAAAATGACAACTTTTACAGACTTCCAATTCCTACTACAATGGCAGATAACTCTTTTGAATATACTTGCACAAACAGTACTAAATAAATTGATGTTTCAATATTTAAAACTCTCCTTGATAATTAACTTTGGTAATATTCTCCACATCAATTTCACTCTGTGCCTTTTCAACTGTATGAACATTTTGCCAACTCATTTTTTGCTGTTCAACTTTTTACAAGGTCAGGTCAAAGTTTTCCAACAGACGTCTGTGTAAAACTAGAATCCAGGATGCTCAATGGCAATTAAACCTGTGTTAAAGAATTTCTCAATTTTTCTGAAACAGCAAGCTAAAATTTTTGACTCTTAAATCCAGAAGTATCCATATCCTGTAGTTTTAGGAAAGCAGAACTGCTGAAACACCAGTAGTTAAACTTCTCCTCAAAAGACAGCTTATTAATACCAACTGTATTAAGTTCTGAATTTCTAATTCTGCCGTGCATTATGATGGTAACCAAAGGAAATCAATGATTATACCTGGGTTTTCTTACAATTACTTACAATTACTTTCTTATAATTATTTTTTTTTTCCATAGGGACTATATACTTTGTGTGGTGCTGGTGAGCCAAAGTCAGGGAATGGGCTGGCAATTCACATCTTCATCTGTAACAACTCCATGATTAACAGGTCTGTATGGAGTCAGAGTATCTCATGGGTTCAATCTAAACTTCTAAAAGTGTGGATATATGGAGATAGCCCAACTGCTCTGGCTATTCATTTGACTACTATTAAAGAACTTTTCCTTTCTTTCCTCATCTATATATTATGCATAATTAAAAGGTTTATGTCACAAAATGAGGCAGATGGGTTCCAACTTGATTCTTTAGCAAATATTACAAACTTCATTGCAACTTTGATGAACCTTGATGCAGGCCTTGTCTGCTTAGAAGACAACCCTAAATTTAAGTTTAGCCCCATACACCCCCACACACACCAAAAAAAAGTTAAACAGAACATTTTACTGATCTCAGATTTGGCCTGGTTATTTCAGAAAATCACCACCTTTTCAAGTAAATATAGCAAAAAAGTAAAAGTGACAATAGGCAGAGAGAAATGTATAGGAATATTATTCTCTCAGTGTGTCTGAAACAAGATATATTTGACTATCTATTTGGCAAGAGAATTTTTAAAAATCTATGTATCACCAGATCAAGCAATTGACCTTGCTGGTAATATTGGAATTTCACTTTGTAAGAAGAAAAGCAAATTGTCTAGCAATAGAACCAGGAAATTGATGTGTAGTCTGCTAAGGAAGATTAATATTTTGTACAGGAAGGGGGGATTCCCAAATTACCAAACCTTGTTGTCTGATTAATGGATTTTAACCTCCTTAAAGGTTACATGAGACCTTTATAACCTTTAGATGGGAAGT